AGCAGCCGAGTGCTGAACCATTTCCGTTAAGATGACAGCCGAGACAACTCTGGAGCAGTCCACCCTGACACGATGGGGCCGCTATGAGTGGAATCAAATGGATGGCGCCCGACGGCAACGAGAACCTGTGCCCCGGGCCCTCCACTCGACACCGTGCCCACCTCGTTCCCCGCACACACCTGGGGACCGTCTGAGTCTTCTCGCCCGGACCCGGTTGTCATCGAGTGCATTCCGACTGCTGGCCACCCCGTGTGTGCTCCGTAGGCTTTTCAGTCCCTGGTTTTTGGGAAGTAAATTGCAGGCCTGCCCCCCAACCCACTTCCAGTGGGACTCGAACCTCCAGCCTTTTAGTTAGGAGCCAGGCCCATTAGCTGTGTGTTCCAACCAGGGTTCCCTTAGTCTCTCCGGTTGCCATAACAAAATGCCACAGAGTGAGTGGCTTCAAAGCCCGGAAACCTGGAGGTGAGGTGCCGGAAGCCAGGAGGCTGCAGGAGGTCTCAGCCGTGCCGATTCCTTGTGGGGGCTCTCCTGGTTCCTGGTGCTGCCGGTGGCCCTTGGATGCTTACTGACGTTTCTCCATCATCACATGGCATCTCTCGCCCCGTTTATAAGATGCCACTCAGGATTAGGTCAAACTCGTCCCTGCCGTGAAGCCATGAGCTGACAACATCTGCAGAGACCCTGCTTCCGCAGACAAGGTGGCATCCGCAGGTCTGGGGTCAGGATTCAGTGTGTCTCTTCTGGGGACACAGTTCAGTCCGTAGCCAAGAGATCCCTATAGTTTCCTGATCTGTTTTAGTCACAAACAACCTCACTTCACCCCTACCTGTTCTGGCTTCCATCTCGTAAAAAGTGTCTCCTCCACAACCACGATACCCTATCACACTAACAAAGTGAATCAGTCCTTAACATCATCCAGTGTCAAGGAGCCCTGGTGCTGCAGTGGTGAAGCGCTCGGCTGAAAGCCAAAAAGTTGGCAATTGGAACCCCTCAGCTACTCCATGGCAGAAAGAGGAGGTGGTCTGCATCCGTAAAGGTCACAGCCTTGGGGACTACACCAAAGTTCACAGCCAAGTTCACAGCCCTCGAGTCGGTCCCAACTCAGAGCGACCCGGCCTTGGGTTTCTGAGGTGGTATCTCTACAGAGGTAGGTCGCCCAACCTTCCTTCCGAGGAGTGGCTGGTGGGTTTGAACCGCCAGCCTTCTGGTAGCAGTCAGTGCCTTAGGCACTGTGGGGCATCTCTGTTCTGTCCTCTAGGGACTCTGAGTTGGAATCCACTTGAGGGCAAGAGGTTTGAAGTTTTTTTATCAGCCAGTGTTGAGTCCACGATCAAATTTCCTTGTCTCCTAAAAAAAAAAACACGTTTTGAAGATGTGATGTAATCCATCTGAAAATGTTTCATGCCTTGAAAATAACTCAAACGTGAAAGGCCTTTAATGTGTGTGACTGGGCGTGGGGGGGGTAAAGCACCTTGGCTTGCAGAGAGCAACACAAACACATAACCAAAAGCAAACCAAACCCACTTCTGTGAGGTGATGGAAACTCACAGCACCCCTAAAGGACAGTGGACCTACCCCACAGGGTCCCCAAGGCTGTCAGTCTTCACAGAAATAAAGCCCCAACCATACCCACTGCTGTGAAGTCCATTCTGACCCACAGCGCCCCTAGAGGACAGAGTAGAACTGCCCACAGCGTCTCCAAGGCTGTCAATCTTCACAGAAGCAAAGCCCAAACCACACCCACTGCCATGTGGTCGATTTCCACCCAGTGACCATATAAGACAGAGTGGACCTGCCCAGAGGGCATCCAAGGCTGTCAATCTACAGAAGCAGACTGCTTTATCTTTCTTCTGAGGAGCTGCCGGCAGGTTTGAACCACTGACCTTTTGGTTAGCAGCCGCATATTTTAACCACTGCAGCACCAGTGCACAGACACAGACGGAAGGACATGGGGTGCACCCACTGGTTCCCTGTCCACCAGACCACTCAACTGACCCCCATCATGGAAGTCGGTGAGGGATCTAGGGGCAGAGGGAAGAGGACATCTGTTTGCTTTTTACCCCAGTCCTGGCATTGCCCACCAGGCCTCGGCACACAGTGGGTCCTCAGGAAAGAGCAGCCGAATAAATAAAGGAAGCCCTCTGACTGGCTGTGGACCCCTTCAGGTCAGGGACGACATAGTGGTTTCCTCTCTGCGCTCCAGGCCTGGACACACTGTCACTCACCTGACTTAGGTCCTCAGGAAAATGAACGAGTGCATGAACACCCCTCTCAGGGTCAG